GTATCTTCTGTCCCAAACAAATTCTCAACCTTAACACCATTGCCCATATCTCCCCCATACCCCCTACCTATCGTAGTGCTCTCAAAGACCCTAACTGGTACAATGCTATGCTAGATGAGTATAATGCCTTGATAGCTAATCATACATGGGATCTTGTACCCCCTTCCCCCGACCAAAATGTGATCTCCGGTAAATGGCTATTTCGCCACAAACTTGGCCCCACAGGCGAATTATCTAGGTACAAAGCTCGATGGGTTGTCCGTGGGTTCCATCAACGCCACGGCATTGACTATGACGAGACCTTTAGCCCGGTTGTCAAACCGGCCACTATCCGCATCGTCCTAAGCCTTGCCGTGTCCCGAGGATGGCCGATCCACCAGTTCGACGTCAAAAATGCTTTTTTGCAGGGCTATCTCACAGATACTGTCTACACCGCTCAGCCTTCGGGATTCCAGGACCCAGCACGACCGAATTATGTATGCAGATTAAATAAGGCACTTTATGGCCTCAAACAGGCACCCCGGTCTTGGTACCAGCGATTCACCGGCTTTGTTCTCTCTCTTGGATTCAGTGGGTGCAAGAGCGACACCTCCTTATTTGTCTACAGTCGCGGTCAGGACATGGCTCTACTTCTACTTTATGTTGATGATATTGTACTCACGGCTTCCTCCCCTGCTCTTCTACAGCAGCTTACAGAACGACTGAAAGGGGAGTTTGCCATGACAGACATGGGTGACCTTCACTTCTTCCTTGGGATCAATGTCCAGCGGACCGCTCACGGATTGTTCCTCACTCAGACTCAGTTCATCTACGACATCCTTGAACGTGCCGGCATGACATCGTGCAAACCAGTCTCTACTCCCGTGGACACCCGTGGGAAGTTGTCGGCCACCGTCGGTCCACCCGCTCCAGATCCCTCTCTATACCGCTCCATTGTGGGTGCATTGCAGTATCTCACCTTTACCCGTCCAGACATTACCTATGTCGTCCAGCAGCTCTGTCTCTTTCTCCATAATTCACGTGTGCCTCATGTCACCGCCATGAAGCGCGTTTTGCGCTACCTACACGGCACACCCACTCATGGCATCACCATCTCACCCTCTCAGACGGATCACATGCGGGCATACTCAGACGCTGATTGGGCCGGTTGTCCAGACACACGCCGCTCCACATCCGGCTACTGCATTTTTCTGGGTGACAATCTCATTTCCTGGTCCTCCAAGCGCCAACTTACCACCTCTCGGTCCAGTGCTGAAGCAGAATATCGAGCTGTTGCCAATGCAGTCGCTGAGGTCAGTTGGGTCCGCAATCTACTTCTTGAGCTCCGGCAACCTCTGACTCGCTCCACACTAGTCTTCTGTGATAACGTCAGTGCTGTCTACCTTTCTGCCAACCCTGTCAAGCATCAGCGCACGAAGCACATTGAGGTTGATATTCACTTCGTCCGTGACAGAGTAGCCCTGGGTCAGATACGGGTTCTTCATGTCCCTTCTTCTCTACAGTACGCTGACATATTCACCAAGGGACTACCCTCCATGATTTTCTCAGAGTCTCGCGCTTGTTTGGGCGTACGGCAATCTTCATCAGCGCCGTTGGGAGCATGTTAAATATACTAAATATATATTTACTATATTTAATATTTATGTATATTGGTAGCTACCATATTTGTATAGGGTGTATTAATTATTGTTTCCTATTATCATTAGGAAACCTTTGTATATATAGAACATGTAATCTCCCTAATCAATCATCAGAAAATATTCATTCTTCATATATATATATATATAAAGAGAGAATATATATTTAAATAATATTTTATTAATATAAGAAAAGATAAATACAAGAGCATGCTGAGTAATGCCCACATCAAAATTCAAGAAGCAAAATCAAAAAATAATAATTATGCTTTAATATATATACTCCAAATATGTTGGTACAAAAAGACTAAAACATCATAACTCTACTGACACCTATATATATAAGCTCAGGATCTCAACCTAGTCCAACAGCATATATGAAATTAAAAAATTCACTCCAAATGCTAAGTTCCAGGGCATGCTGCACCAACCACTGCCTGCAATGAGTATTATTCATCAGGACTTTTTATGATCTCCAGTTTGAAGAGCAACATTCTCTGGTGGGAGAGAACAGAATGGGTTGCTGCTGCGGCTGTGGATGCTGCATGTATCCTTAAAGTAGTCATATGATTCTTTTGCAGATTTCATTGCAAGACTTAAAGAAATAGCACACTTCATTACAAAACTTCAATGCAAATTTCTCCCTCTTACCATGGAGGCCAAGCATCCTTATAGCTTCTGTGTCCGTTTTGAGGCTAGCTGGAAGAATAGAAAAAAAACTAACCATATCATAAACTAATAAACTACTTGATAGGTTCACAAGTTAAGATTCAGGCTGGGTGAAGGATAGATCATAGTGAGTACCTCTTATCACGAACCACCCATCTCTGACCAACTCCAAACCTGACCTCCATTCCATTCATTGAGCCAAAACTGCCGCTTTTATCATAATCTGTTGGCTTTTCCTTTAGCAGTATGGCCTGAAACTATAATCAGAGTGTCGCGTCAGTATTTAAGCTTACTTCTTTCTTTCGTTCTTTAATTTCTTTCTATCGTTTTTCCCCTTTGAGATCTTTAATGTGCACCTCGCTGGTGATTGGTGTGCCAGGACATATACTGAAAATTTAATGCCTGAAAATTTTGTGGTTCACCTAAAAATTACTTTGTGATATGTGGTTTTAGCACAGCAAACACACTTAAAATCACAAACAAAAACACACTTTAAAATCACAAACTTTGTGTAACGGACAAACATTTCAGAGCAAATGCACGTTCGTGCACGCAAAAAAAATACATCATAACTTAAGCATTCTTTACATGTAGTTTGTGTGAGCACCAACACCATTCCAATCGCCCTGACCACGAAGGTGAAAAAAACAAACAAGAATAATCAAAGGATGCAATCCTCGGAGTAAGAGTTATGTTACAGTCACACCATGGATGCCACAAGTTAAAATAGTGAAAAAAGATGTAATTATTTACCTCAAGAATATACCTAGCTACACACACCTCATCACCAGCTGATGGGAACTTTTCTAGAGCATTAGAAAGCATTTTCAACAAAGTAACCACCTGATTTAAAAAAGATCTACACGATGCTGTGTGTGCCAACAAAGTAACCACCCGATTCAGACAAGCAAATAAATGAAGCGGTAGCCATGATGTGTAAAACTATAGGGGTGATCTGTGTTCTATTCGATGATCATTATTTGGAGTAGATTGCAGACAACAAATAGGCAAAACAGTTTTTTGAAGATGGATACACGATGCTGTGTGTGCCAACAAGTTCATGAAGACTTGGATGATATTTTGTGGAAGTGTTTCTTTGCTATACAGGTTTACAAGCTTCGCATTCTATTATCTTCACTGTATGATCACCACTGGCATCATATATAACCAAAAATCTAAGGTCAATATGTAAAAATGTGTGAGTCCAAATTGTGTAAGTCACCACTGCCCTAATGTTTATGGTAGTGAGTCAAAAGGTTTTGAAAGAGGCCATGAGAAACAAGAACCCATAATTGCAAATTGAAAGGTTGACTATATTTTAAACCAAGACAAGCATAATATAAATATACACACATACCATTCTTACAATATGGGGTGAAAGGTGGGAACTTACTAAGTTGATGCAAGGGTTTTCCCGTCTGGACTAAATGCTGCAGCAATGGTAGATCGAGGGGGAGGCAGAAGGGGACAATACTTTGCTAATAAATTCCGTAATAATTCTGCCTCTACCCTGCAATAGTGGAAATAATCTATATCAGTGGAAGGCCAGACTAGTCATACATACAACACGTATAACAGGAATTTAGTATGTATCAGTTACCATGATATAAGACCTTTTTTGCAGAAACAGTACCAATGAAATAATAAAATGGCTTCTTTATATCATACCTGAAGTTTAGACATGTTATAGTTGATAATCCTTGTGAGAATTATAAGCATTATAGAACCTTAGAACCTAAAGACATTTGATGAAGGGCACGCTCTTTGTACTATGGGACAATGTGAAGCATCTACAAAAAAAGTATTTCATCTACATAGTATTCAATTAAGTAATAACAAAGAATACGAGAGTTCAATTACCAGTCTCTATATGTTATCATTGAAATAGAATTTTTAACTGAGTATAAAAAGGTTGATTATAAACTTGTCAATTTGGTTGGGCACCTTTTTAGAGCATTATAAAGCATTTTCAACAAAGTAATCACCTATTAATTCATGAGAAAGGCATAAGCAATAAACTGTTTTACCAACAAAGTTTGTTGTATAAAAAAATTTCTTAGCAACTAGGAACAGTGTAGAAAAGATAGGAAGCATCCACTTCACTAGTGACAAGAAGCATAAGTCAAAGAAATCACCAATTATTCATACATGGATACGCTTCATGTGATAGTAAAATGGCACCTTGATCATCAGAATTCATCACCTGATTTGAATTATGAAGCCCAACTAACATCAATGCCCACCTGCATAGTACCAACCTACAAGAATCTTCAAAACAGAATAGAAAAGACAAAGATGGAATTTCCCAGCGGGGCGGAGGGAGTAGAAAAGTTACAGTAATGTAGAATAACTGGATCACTATGAAAAAACCGTCCCACACCATGGCCAATGAATTGTTCCACAACACCATAATGATGTTTATCTGCAAGGTCACTGCATATGGAAAACTTAATGCAAAGCAAAGATGATATAGTTGTGGAACCTGATTCTATTTGTAACTTAAGTTTCTTAATTTCTTCAGTTATAATTGAGTTAAATTACTCAAAAACAAAATGATCATTATGGGTTTTTTGTGCTAGGGAGAATTGGGAAGATCGCAATCCGGCTTATTGGGGGTAAATGCCTAATTTGATAAATTACCATTTTGAGGTTGGTTAATCCCAATCAATCCAAACAGAGCAATAGAGCATTAGTAATTACAATGTGTATTATGATGCCTTCATTGATTCATCAAATACGCAGATTTCACGCTATCTAGAGGGAACACGCCGGTCCACCATAGATTTCCAGCGGGAGGGACGGCAGTGCTTATAAGTGGCAGAATTCCCATTTGTACCCCTCCTATAACATCTCCAACTGATCGCAGTTAGAATAAGTGACAGAAGTCCCAAAACATATACACAAGCACACCAAGCCTAAAAACCAGCTCTTCGTTTAATTTTTCGAACTAAAACCATAAACCAGCCCACCCAAAAGCCAGCTTCTAAAACCCAAAAGCCTAAAATTGAAAGCCTAAAACCAGTACCCGAAAACCAAAGAGCATCCCCCCAAAAGCAAGCTGCTCAAAACAAACACAATATGTTGAAAACCTAGCTGCCAAAATAAGCAGATGTTGAAAACCAAACACCAAAACCTAGCTGCCAAAATAAGCATCTCCAGGACTATAAGCATCTCCAAGATAAACAAATGTTGATAACCTAGCTGCCTAAATAACCTAGAAGCAAAAATAAGCAATCCCCTCTAAAACCTAGCTTCCAAAACCAAAATAAAAAACATCCACCTCAAAACCAGATGTTGAAAACCAAACACAAAGTACTTGGCCAGTATTACGCCACCTTAAAACCAGAATTAAGTCAGTACAGAAGCTAGTAATTTCATAAATACGAAGTATTTAGGTTGCTCAAACAAATACAAAAAAACATTCAGGAATGGCCACAAATGCTGCCACAGAAT